ATATTGTGGTCTGAGTGAAGCGGCGATGTTTGATTGGTCCCCGGAGAACAACAGGAGAGGGGTGCTTTAGACTCTGAGTGGTCGTAAACCGTCCCGCCCAAAATACCACCTTAAACCCAAGAAATGAAACGGATTCAATCTACTGGCAAAACGATTCTGGCAGATTTGACACACAGCATAAGGACTACCCATGGGTTGTCTAAGCTCTGGGCAGCAAGGATGAAGTGGCAGCCCTTCCATGACAAGTCGACGGGATTTTACGGGATTCGATAAAAAACGCTTGTTGGCGAAAGGGCCCGGGAGCACGTAACTATCACATCTAGGGACTCCAAATCCATCTGCATTTCAAGATCTCATCTCTCCCTTCTTGGTGATTGGAGAGAAAAGAAAGAGATGTTGTGTGCCAATCTGCATTAACCATTATTGTATTATTGTTGTCTGCCGTGGACCCTTCAAGATCGCTTTCCAATAACGTAGCCAAGGGGACCAAGGCCTTACTTATAATAGAGACCTTGCGTAACTACATTTATTTTGATTATGTTGATATATGATGTTTGTGAGCTAGACACTATTTAAACTGGAAAGCACCAGGGCCCCTATAGTAAGTTAATAAGTAGACAATAATAAGGGATAAAACTAGATGGTGTTGGTGGTGGTTGTTGTTGTGGTTTGTAAGTTCATGTCTATAACTAACTACTATAGTTACGGTTGTCTGTTGATTGATGCCATCAACCGCCATCGTCACTAACCCACAAGTTCTAACCCGCCGCTGCATGGTGCCTGTTTTTCAGCTTCGTAATCGCTTCTTACGCTCTGCTCCATCTCATGCAACCAACAAACATCGATCTATTAAATAAGCACAGATAGATCCATTTCCTCCAATCCTACTCTAGATTAACCTGTCAACTCCGTTGATCATCCTCGTCCTCGTCTCTCCATCTTGAATCCCGACTTGACTGACTCTTGTCGTCAACCCCATATTTACTCACCGACCGCAGCCTGGTGGATCCCTGACTCACTCACTCTCTGTTGAGCCGTGCCTTGACCCTCTCAGTCACCCCATTCAAGTGTTGAAACGCTGTCATCCGTCACCCGAGCCGCTATCCACAGCCACTTGTGTCCGTGTTGAACTATCCAGCGCAGCCGCCCGTTGGTCGATCCTGTTTGAACAGAGTTTAAAAAGTCCCGCCTAGCTTCCAAGGTATGTTGTTCCCGCCCGACGACGACAATATATTATTTCCCCCCCCCCCCCCCCCCCCCATCCCTAA